CAACCAATCAATCAATCAATCAAAAAACAAAACAAAAAAAAAAGGTCGGGCGTTTGTGTGTGTGTGTGTGTGTGTGTTTGTGTGTGTGTGTGTGTGTGTGTGTGTGTGTGTATGTGTGTGTGTGTGTTCATGGGGGGGAGGCGACCCCCCCACTGCCAATCAATCAATCAATCTTTTGAATGAATTTTTTTTTCTTTTTTTTTGTATTTTGTTTTTCATGCTCGATCAATGAATCAATGAATCAATGAATCAATGAATCAATGAATCAATCAATCAATCAATCAACCAATTTGCACATGTTAATCAATCAATCAATCAATCAATCAATCAATCAATCAATCAATCAACCARTCAATCAATCAATCAATCAACGAATTAATCAATCAATCAAATTTCTTTTTCCACCCAGGACAAAAAAAAAAAACCTTTTTTTTTACTGTTTTTTTGAATGGGGGGGTACCCCCTGACACCCGACCCCCCCCCTGCCCATCCACCCCCTCAGCACCCCTCCGGAAGGCCGTGTACGGACGACCCGAAGTCCGTACGTACGGACCATACGGGTGTCGGGCGGCCCGTACGTACGGACGTCCAGACGTACGGGCCGGGCCGTACTCATACGGCGGTATACACTGGTTTTATTGTCAATTAGTAGGCTAGTAGTAGCTGTATAAAGAGTAGGCTAGGCACCGAGCGCCAAGAAGGGAGATAGGGACTGGATACATATGTTGGTGGTGGCGAGAGCAAACTCTCATTGACATTGGTTTTCAGTGCTACGATTCTCCATTAGTGTCATATTGGTGCAATGCTGCTTTCTGAACACTGAGATACAATATGGCTTTCAATGTGATTGTGCAATCTAAATATTGTCATCTCGCTATTGCTCATTTTCCTTGCAATTTGGTATCAGAGCTGGTTCGAACTGCGCTCATTGGTTCTTCGCAATAGCTGTTCGGTGCTTCGCATGAGGTGTGGGGCAGTGATAAGGCTTGGGAGTTGGACGTAAGGCGGCCCAGGGTCGTGTGGGCGCGCCAACAAGCTATGTGGTGACATTAGGGGTGTACGCTGGATGATGAGAGCTCGCTGATGTGTCATTTAAGCCGAGGTGGAACTACATTTTGTTGTTGGCTCTCCCAAGTAAATCGGAAGACCGAAACAAATAAACTGATGATGACAAGATTGTTTCGTCGGAGTTGCACCGACTCATCAGGACACTGAACCCTCGACAATTTGCGGAATCTCCGTATTTGATGGTTTGGGTCATGAACCCTTTGACCCTTGTTGAAGGCAGACTGTCCCCAAGCGGAACATAGCAGCGAGCAACAACCCTGTGAAGCACCAGGCAACACAACCGAGGCAACAAGGCTACTGCAACGAACGGCATGGCATGCAGGAGATGCAGTGCGGCAACCGTGTAGTGAAGCACAAGACAACACAAATAAGGCAACCACATTGCAAGGGACGACAGGGCGAGCGTACAAGCAGTTGGGCAACCATGGAGCGAAGCGCAAGGTATCAGCAACAAGCCAACCATCCAACAAGGCCCGCAAGCAGCAGACACGGAAGGCATGACCAGCAGAACGGCAGCAAGGCAGCGGAGCAGCGGAGCACAAGGCAACACCAACCACACGGCCACACCACACAACGAACACATCAACCTGCAAAGAACCACATGCAAACCAAGTTGGGCAGGCAGTAGGGCAGCGGTGGCGCGCAGACGAGGCCGTCCACACACCAACACGGAGCAAAGCAGCATATGACCTACTCACATCACGATTGAACCCGCAGACTCTTGGTTCCCACCACCCACTGAGCCAGGGAGACACTCTGACGAGCATCCGTCATCACCTACAGGCAACACAGACATCCCAAACCGAGTGCCCCCCATAAGAGTGCAGTTGGCATTCCAAACGAGGAAGCACCTACTGTTTGGCACTACTTAAGGGTGCTCAGTTGGGTACACAAAAAAATACTTAGAACAAATCAGAGGGAGGACAGACAACAGGAAAAAAGACTGACAGACATAAAACTGATTTTGTGTGTGTGTGTGTGTGTGTGTGTGTGCCGGGGGAAGGGGAGGGAGGACCCCTCCCCCACCAATCAATCAGTCAATCAATCAATCAATCAATCAGCCAATCAGTCAATCAATCAATCAATCAATCAATCAATCAATCAATCAATCAAGAAAACAATCAATCAATCAAAATTTTTGTTTTCTATTTTTTTTTTCCACATACCAAAAACTACCCCCCGAGAATATATTTTTTTAACTTTTTTTGGTTCAAGGGGTTGGGGTCGGGGTTCTGGAACCCCAATCCGCAACCCCCACCCCCAACCTCCTCTCCCCTCGGCGGGGGCGGGCCGTGGCAGACGTCGGCCACTGCGGTCGAAAACCCCCAACATTTTTAATTCCTAGGATAATCGGCCAAAAACAAACAAAAATAATATGGGTTTGTAGGGTTTTCAAAACCCTACATCCCCATTTTTTTTTTTTTTTTTAATGTTCTTTATCATTTTTAAAAAATAGAAAACGAAAAAAACAAGTATTAAAATCAAAATAAACATAATAAAAAAAAGGGAACTATTTTTATTTTCATTGTTTTCTGATTGCTGGTGGGATAATCGTGGTGCTCATGTTTCTTTGATTCTTTGTTTTTACCTACATATGCAAATATGAAAGGAACCAAAAAAAAAAGATAATATTGAAAGAAAAATCAAAGCCATTTTCTTTTCTTTTTCCTTTTTTCTTTTTTCAGTTTTTGCTAGAAACACTGATTGATTGATTGATTGATTGATTGGTTGGTTGATTGATTGACTCTGATTAGTTGATTGATTGATTGATTGTGTGTGTGTGTGTGTGTGTGTGTGTGTGTGTGTGTGTGTGTGTGTGTGTGTGTGTGTGTG